TTAGAGAAGCCTTTGCTGTGATGGGAAATGCACAGGAACCTAATGAGAAGCTGGTATGCCTATATTTATTATCTGAAGCGATGAGATAATATGATGATAATAATTTGATTTTTTATTTCTTATAAGGGTGGTAGGATTTTAGTTTTGAGTGGTCCAACTGGCACGGGAAAATCAGCTGCCATTCAAGTGCTTGCGAAAAAGGACGATATATTTCTTGCGAAATATGAAAACCCTGAATTTGAAAACGAATTTAGAACCGATGAAGTATTTGAGCTTGGAGCACATAGATCAGGTATAATGTGCAGATCAAAAAATTTATATTATTCTTCTTAATTAACGAATTTGATTCGATCTTTAGACGATTATACGCCAGTTTTAACTACCTTTAAAAAATTTGTATATAAATGCAAGCAGGATTTAAGTTTTTTAGCACCTTCCGATTTTCAAATTCTGTTATTCGAAGAATGGCCGGATCTTCAGAATCAAACTACAAGAAAGGAGTTTCACGATTTTTTAATTTCTGACTATTTTAATGATCTTAGTGCTATGTATCCTATGGTCTTTATTTTAACTGAATACTTTACAAGGCAAGTCATATTTTTAAGTATTTCGAAATTGGGAAAAAGAGGAAAGTGAATTCATATTTTTCATATACTAATAGGTTTGACGCCACAAATCTTGAAATGGGTGCTCATGAGTTTGATTTCTCTAGAAATTTGCTATTGCCAGAACAAATCATTACTAATTCAATAAAATTTAAAGAAATAAGGTAGATTAATTCAAATTTTACTCAAATTAATTTCACAATATTGTACTTATATTGTTTACGTACTAGGTTTAATAGCTTACCAAAAAGTAATATTGAACGTGGTTTGACTCGAATTTCGGAATTAATTTCCCGTGTATATCCACAAGAGTTACTTGGGATTCCATATGGAATATTTAAGCAAATGATTAATATTGTTGCTGAGGAAAACATTGGTGATATAAGACGAGCAATAAATGAATTTCAGTACTTATGGATCACCGAACGAAGAAGAATAGCGCAAGAAATCCGAGAAAGATCAACAACAAATAAGTAAGTTTATTTGAAAAATTATAATAACTTTTGATATATGACTTGATCATGCAGAAATTTTTGAATGTGAAATAGTATAACGATAATGCCGTGCGATGGTTCTGAAAAGTATATGAGTTTACGCAGTAACTTATTTCGAATACTTTCGGGTGAACAATTGACTGATCCCGGGCATAGGAAAGATACTAAAGTATATTATATTCAATCTC